ATCCCAAAAGACACTAGAAGAAATAATTGCGCTGAACAGCCATATTGATATCACTGTTGCAATGACGCGCCCGTGAGTCACAAGCTCTTGATATCTGAGATGAAGATGAACAGCTAAGAACCTATCCACACTTATGGTTAAAACATTGAGGAGCGAAGATGCACAAAAGAAATTCATAACGGCCATCAATCCCTTGAAGGAAATGGGGTCGATACGACTTCGTTTTAACAAGCTGACTAAAATAGAAATAAAGAGCGGCTGTGCCAACAAACCAACGCCAACATCAGAGGCAGCCAGGCTCAGCAATAATGTTCTCAAAGGTTTTGGCAACAACGTGGTTCTCCTTATCGCATGGATGGTAAGGCTGTTCAAAATGATTGTTGTACAACTCAAAAAATTGTTGAAGACACAAGTAGCGACAAGTGACGGACGAAAATCTTCGACATCCGCAGAGTTTCCAAAGAAAGACTCGTTGAGAAGGTAGCTAACGTTTTCCGCCATGAGAGCTGTGCGTTAAAACTACTGTTAAGAATATGTTCGACTATTGTTCATGTTGGCGGCAGATGTAAATTAAAATTGAGGGCTGGTTTTTTTGTAACATTAATACATGTCAATTAGAAGTGGAAAATGCAGTATTGTGTTTGCATATGTAAGACTTCCGCCTGTTAGAGTCAGTAAGTAAAGAAAGAATAATAAAAAACAACCAATAGGCAAATGACAGGACTATAAATTTATTTCATCCTGAAGTGAAAAGAAGTCTGAAAGTGAGTGGTGTCAACAATTATAAAATTGTTTCGGTTTACATCGTAAAGTGATTGGTCAAGAACTTTGCTCCATCTGTCAGCTACTCGGAAGCAATTAGAGACAGCCGCGTCTTTACTAATAAATAAAGAAGATGATTTTCCTTAATTTTTCTCTCTAAATAATCTGCTGGTTAAAGTTTGTCCACTATTGCAAATAGAGATTGTTGAATTCAGGTTGTGTTTAAAAAGGCAGAACCGTAAAAACTCAGCGCATAAGAATACTCCATCTGAATCATGTGCCACTATAATGGACGAAAAATGTTATGTGGTGCTATATATTATACAACCATCTATATGTGCAATCATATGAATGCAGACGTCTAGGTGACCGATTCCGAGAACACCTTCGCGACGTAACAAGAAATGACAAGGACGCATCCAAACCAGTCGCTAAACACTTAAACCTCCCTACTTATTCTATACACCATATGGCAGTTTCTGGCCTTTCCCTACATTTAGGCAGTTCGGAAAGCCGCAAAACACCAGGACAAAAATTTATCTTCCAAATTAGTATTATTAATCCCCATGGTATCGACGAGCGCTTTTCAGTCAACTAATTTATTCTTGGCGTTCCTTCTCGATCGATTACTGACAACTGACTTTAGTGAGAATTTCCATAAGAGCGTTGACGTTATGCATCACCGATTATTCTTATATAATGGCAGAGAGAACTATAGTAGATCTGAGCGCGTGATTCGCAATCCGGATGTCTGTGGTCTGACTCTGGCCAGCCTCCTCCTGGGAGCGAAGTTGGAGTCTAACGTCATGCTTTGTATGTCATGCCAACCGGTCCTCTAGCGTCTGGAGTTATTAAGAAGCTACGTCATGTAATTTGAGGTCTCTTCATCTCCAAAGGGAATCGTCTTTTTTGAATAAGTATTTGTTTGCTCTGGTAGAAAAACACTGATGAAATTTCTCAGATAACAAAAAAAACGAGGATAGCCGAGAACAGCGGTGATTAGCGCAGGGTACAATTAAAAAAAAGGTGAAAATTGATGCTAAATTTTTCAAAACGGACTAACCGTCTGAGTGAAAAGCGTAGAGATCCTTGAACTTTGTGCAATTAGCATAAAATGTATAACCTTCTGTCTTTGCCTAAGTTAGTGAGTGCCCGGGTTACTGTTGACAAGGCAAAGAATTTCAGTCCATCAACCATCAAGTCTAGTCGACTTAATATTATTCTTTATACCAGAAACCGCACAGCTGAATTCTGGAAGTCTATGTGTGATCGTAAGTAAGTAAAGGTTATATTCGAAGAGAGGTACATTTAACTGTAATAAAAACACTGATGAACTCTTGGCCCTTATTACACTATAAAGCGACCTAAAAATCAGTTTTGTATTTAATTCACAAGCTATACACTTCACAAGGTTAAAAATTTACTATCCTATCGACAAGTACAAATACATACATTAATTGATGACAACCTTAAAATCATATTTCAAGTGATGAGGAAGCTTTCTGGTCATTTATCAATTTTTCATACAAAATGCGCTTGAAACTAGCAACTGATGCTTTCTTAAGCTTGACTCTGTAGCACCTCATTGTGTAGTTTGCCTGTAACCGTTAAAGCTCATCCTCCCTCAGTTTTCCTTAAGCACTTTCGACAAATCAAATCCAATTTGACGATGGCCGAGGCTCTTATCCCATGCATCGTGAATTGGCATTAGAAACAAATCCAACCAATGTGTTGCGGTATAATCAAACCAACAGAAAAACAATATAATCCTACAAGGTCAACTGCTTACCATTCAACGAGTAATATTCTTAACAAGAAGCGACTCTTAAAGGCAACATCAGTGGTTCTTATGCTCCATAAACGTACTTAAGCCCACTACAGTTTATATCTTAGCTCGCCACTGAGCAGGACTCACAGTTTCCTCCAACGTTTCATGAAATTAGCAACCTTTCACTGTAGCTCTCTCTCACGGTATAGCTTTCTGAACAGTCGATCACTCCCAACAACAAAAAATACGACTACTACCACATAACTGGGTCCTTATATACATTCAAAAAGTGCTCTGGAACATTCTAGAAGCTTCCAAAAGAAATATTTTAGTAATATTACGCCATAACTGCGTGACTTGATAAAAGTTCTAGAAAGTTCTATGGTACTCATGTCAGCACGACTAAGCAGTCTGGAGATTTCTAGAAGCTTATATTTACAACAACAATTGCTCATAATAAATGCTATTCTCTGAACCGATTGATGATGCCTCGCATTGTGTCCATAAGAGTGCGACGAATGGATCTCATCTTCCAGCAGTATATAACAGGGTTCAAAGACGAGTTGAGGAAAAACAAAGTCGTTGTATGGGGCCAAGCTTTGTAGTAAGAGATTGAACTTAAAAGGCGAGCCAGGAATAAAAAAGAGAGAATATAGGAAGGCAAATAACAAATCAAGAACACAATACATGCGTAAAATGTTCCAAGAGCTGACTTTCGAAGCTTCAAAAAGTTTGATAAGTCGCCATTTTGAACTCTCTGTTGTACTTCTTGGATTCGAAGTTCTTCAATCTGGCTTTTGTGTCGCTTTAAGACTATATAAATCCTCCAGTAGACAATTACTACTAGAATGAGGCAACCAGTTATAGTCACGAGCCCTATGACTAGCAAGATGATAAACAATGGATCCCAAAAGACATTAGAAGAAATAATTGCGCTTAACAGCCATATTGATATCACGGCGGCAATAACACGCTTGTGAGTGACACGTTCTTGATATCTGAGATGAAGATGAACAGCTAAGAACCTGTCCACACTTATGGTTACAACATTAAAGAACGAGGATACACAAAAGAAATTGATGACGACGGACAATGCCTTGTCGTAAATGCAGTCGATTCGTTTTCGCTTTAATCTGCTGACCAAGGTAAAAATGTAGAGTGGTTGGACCAACAGACCAACCCCAACATCGGTGGCAACCAGGCTCAGTAATAATGTTCTCAAAGGTTTTGGCAACAACGCGGTTTTCCTTATCGCATGGACGGTAATGATGTTCAAAAAGATGTTTGTATAAGACAAAAAGCTGTTGAAGACACAATTAGCGACAAGTGCCGGACGAAAATCTTCAAAATCCGCTGAGGTTCAATAAAGAGACTCGTTGAGAATGTCGCAAACATTTTTCGCCATGAGAGCCGAGCGTTAAAACTACAGTGGCCCTGATATTTTCCGATATTCTAATACGGAAACTTTAAAGTCATATGTAGCTGTCAATCACGAGGAGAGAACATAATCGAAGCCATCTGTACGAACAGTCAAAATGTCTTCAACTCTGTCATTCGCATTTTTGAAAAAAACATCGAGTGTCGCTTTCACTCGGCGTTGGTTAGAACTAAAACAAATTATTTGTTTAATGCTTCAAGATATTTTAACTAAACACGGGATTTATAACTGGAAAAAGGTAATTTAAAAGAGAGCTGGCATTAACATATTTTTCTTCTATCAAAGTGAATAAACGAGACAGCATAGCCAGTTAAATTAATTAAAAGAGCGCTTCAAATATGTTTCCGTATTTCTAAATTCGTTTGAATACATGGAACACATCTTCAAAGACACAATATTTTTACATATTTAAACCGAAAGATATACAGATAAGACATTTTATCAAACACTAATTCTGCATAAAGCACTTAAACGAAAAGAATACAGGAAGTTTGGCTATTGTTTATGTTGACGGCTGTTGTAAATTAAAAATGAGGGCTGTTATATTTTAAAATTAATACATTTAATTAGAAGTGTAAATGCAATATTATGTTTGAATATGAAAAACTTTAGCCTGTTAGAGTCAGTAAGTAAAGAAAGAATAAAAAAACAACAAGTAGGCAAATGACAGGACTATAAATTTCTTTCGTCCAGAAGTAAAAAGAGCGGTGTCATGGATCGTAATAGTTTCGCTTTACATTGTAAAGTGATTGGTCGAGGGTTTTGCTCCCTCTTTCAACTACTCGGAGGCAAATTAAGCCAGTCGCCACTTTGCTAATAAATAAACAAAATTATAAATAAATTATAAATAAACAAAAACGTGAATATCTTGGCCATTAGTGTGGACAGACTCTTGGCCGTTCAACTTTATCTTAGATACCAAAAACTTGGGACTTACACGCGGGTTGTTGGAGTTGTTATTTTTATATGAACATTTAGAGTATTTTCAACCTTAACACTATTCCTTGTTCCTTATGCTGTACTCACGGTAATCATGTCAGGTATTGGACCCTTATGCTTTCTCGTCACTACAGCAATCTATTGCAGGATCTGTTTTATTACACGACGCCACTAAAGGCAAATTCAGCAAGTACGAGAACTAGAGGCACAAGCTAGACAAAATAGCGAGATGAGGAATTTGTCAACGATCATGAAAACTGCTGTCTGTGATTTATACGTTTACTTTGCGTTCTTGGTTTGATATTTCCCTCGCTATAGCCTTTTGGCTCCCCGTACAATTATCGGCCCCAATATTATAACAACTAGTTTTTCACTTTTTTTCATTTGATGTTGTTGAAATCAGATTCTGATTTCCGTTACTTGAAAACTTCCCATTTAGGCTCCGTTTCATTTGGGACCTTGTCCAGATGGAAACTCTATCCAATTTTAGTTTCCTTTGTGAGGTATAAATCTGGCTCCGTCATATTTTTCGTCGCTGTCAAATTTTGGACACCGTAAGACTCCGTCCCACTTTAGACGTTGTCCGCTCATCAATGACATTTAATTCAAGGTGAAGTTCGACAAAGGGGAGTTATCCTCCTGTTTTAGCAACTATACGATATCAGGAAGTACTTATTGAGTTCTGAGATTCAAAACAATAACCTAACCTACATCTGAAAACTGTGTTCAAATGTGCTCACAATTAAACCGTAGACGCCACCAGTTTGAGAGCAACGCACTTGGTTTTGA